TGATTGGAAGTGGCCACGGCACTCCCACTCCCCAGCCAGTGCTCGCAGGGGGGGCACCAGCTCTCCCGTCTGCCCCTCCCCAGTCACCTAAGCAGGGAGCACGGCCTGTTAGGGGGTGCACCAGCGCTCTCAGGGGATATGCGTCACCACTGAACTGGGATAACTTCACTCCACCTTCTGAAGAATCAGGGGGCAAAACACTGCTGGGTATCTATATGCTTTAAAAAAAAGGTCTAGTAGCTCCTCCTCTAGTACCTAGCAGTAAGGCACAGTAAAGGCCACCTGCTGCAAAAACTACTTCGAGATGACTGCACACCTTCCCATTCCCAATCTTGGCATAATGTACACTGCTACACAAAACCAATGAAAATTACACCTGCATACATAACCATCCTATCCACACTGAGTACCTGGTGTCACACTATGATTTCACTTTATTTTAGAAATTCTACACATTTAATTGAACTGAACACAAACACTGCACTGTGATTACAAATGCATTTTCTTACCTTGTCCTCAGACTTATAAAAGACCTTATGTGGAGACCCCAAATTGCTCAGAACATCCTGGCACGAATCACCAAAATACACACAGCGTTCAAAAACCCGCATCTTAGCATCAGCTAGTACACCTGGGCCACAACCTGGAGAACATGAAAAAGCCTCACGTTAATAACGCAAATCTAATTCTTCACTTCTGGCTGTTTGTTTATGAAAAAAGAATCTAGGTGATATTACTGCTGACTGTGACATAGGCCCATACCTTAATGGCCAAGTTTAGCCATGCTTTCTCTTGGAAAGCATATTAAGATGCATATTTCTGTGCCTTTTCTCATTTCACAAGATGTAATTTACTCATTTTCACAGTCAAATCCAAATCTGATCAGCTGATATCATCTTCAACTGCCAAGAATTAGTTCTCTCCTTAAAAAGGCTAAATTGCAGTAACTGAAGTATTTTAAAAACTATAAAACATACTATCTGAACAGTCAAAAAGTAGAAACCATGGATCAAAATTCTTTGTCCTTCATCAGATATTTTTATGGATTCCTATATTTTATGGAACATGAACCAAATGCATTCATATATACACAAACCTTATTAAAAACAACAATGAATTTCTAATATATAGATGCATAGTTGAAACATACTATTTATAAGACAAATCACTGTAAGTAACATCCCATTACTAATCATCTGTAAGCCTGTATTCAAACTGTTTGCCAAACAAAAGTTGCCATTTTAATCCCAAAATCAGGTTAACAAATAAAGAAATTACTTCCTTTTATATCTGAAGCATCATTGAAGGGTATTACACACTGAATGATTAAGTTTTCAGCTCAGCTTGCTGTTGGTTAGGTAGAGATTGTCCATTTAGAAAGCCAAATTCACTGCATTTCACCAACAATGGCTTCAACGCTATTCACAGAATTCTGGATATTGAACTCTTAGAAGCCCTCTAAATTTCTAGTCTTTCATGGCCAAAGACCATTTAACTGCTACACACAGACAAGTAGCAGAGCCTCAAATATGATGGGATGCACCCTACCAGGGTCTTTCAACTGCGTTAACACAATAGGTTACTTTTATCATCATTTTTCTGTACCTGGCTGTAAGTCACTCAAACAGGTCTCACTGTTCTACATGGGGACCTTTACCACAATGTTGTGGGTGCAGTGTGGAATTCTCAGTACTAAAAAGCATGCCCACGAATAATTAGCTTCCAATTTGGGAGGTGCTAACTGTAGAGTAGCACAGCGTTTTAACATCCAGCTGTTTGGCTCAGTAAGTTTACCATGTAGACATGCTCATGGAAAGACAAACCCTACATTTCTTCGGCCCATTAGGCATACCCTGCTTGTCTAGCTACTCACTGGGTCACCATAGGTCTCCTGGCTTCTTCAAAGGTTGAGAGAGGGTCTACTTAGTTGTCATTTTAAATTTATGCTTTCCAAAAGCCAACGGAAAGTGACATTTTCCTTACCACCTAACAGTGCTCTCAGCATAATTCAGAAGGCTCTCCTAATAGTCAAGAAAAGGTATTCAAGCTCTATCTCAGGGGTGGGCAATTATTTTGGGCAGAGGGCTGCTTACTGAGTTTTGGCAAGCCATCGAGGGCCACATGATAGGCAGCCAGGGGCAGACAAATATTAATTTTCTAAATTTTTTAGGGGCCCCGTGGGTCAGACAGAATTGCCTGGCAGGCCACATCCAGCCCCCAGGCCGCATTTTGCCCACCCCCGCTCCATCTCCTGGTCCAATAGCTAGTACTTCTCTCTCTTAACTATAACAAAACTGGAATGACCCACACTTACCCTCCCCACCCCCCATCTGCTTAAGACAATTTTAATTAAAAAAAAAAAAAAAAAAAAAAAATCAAGATGCTTACAGAGGAGTTAATTCTAGAAAGGTTGTGGAACCTATTCCCTAAAGGTGCTAAGTTGAGCAAGGAAATAATGGCCTATTGCACACCTGTCCTGCAAATTTTAAAAGTTTGACAATTCATGTAAAAAATAATAAAATATTTATTACAATGTTAACCTTTCCTTTAAAACTTAGGCATGTATTTCATCTAGATTCGACACTCTATCTTAGAAGTGACCAATTTTTCAAAATCATTTACATTATCAGGATAATATAGCTAACTCCTTCCCTAATACAGCAGGATATATGATCCCTGTCCTAGGCAGCTCTCCATTATCTTCCTCTGTAAAGACAGAAGCAAAGTAACTTTAACAAATCTACTATATTTTTATTCATTGGTTTTTATTTCTTACCTTATTTTTTTCCACCTTTTGCATATTGGGAATACATTTTAAAGAGTTTCTTCAACATAAATAGGCTTGAAAAGTTCTTAAGGAAAAAAAAACAGGATCTGCTATTCAAAAGAATTTTGAGTAAACTGACTATACTGCTTGACAATATTTTAAATCTTTTTAAAAGGGGAATTACTGGCAAGCATCTTTCTGCAGCAATATATTTTTCCTTTAGAGTTAGGTAAGACTTTAAAGAGATATGTGGGAAAGTAACCAAACAGCCTGTCACTCACAATGCTGTTTCCAAATACAGAGGCAAGGATTTTTAGTAATAACTTTTATTGGACCAAAAGTATAGTTGGGAGATGGAAGCATGGAGAAAGAAGCAACAGCTCTCTGAACTGTACAGTTGGTCCATTAAAAAACATTATTAAAAATCTTTGCTTCATCTACATTTCCTGGACCATCACAGCAACACCACACTCAGCCTACTCTAAAGCAGAATTGTTTATCACTGAATTCAATTTAGAATGCTAGGTTTAAGACAGCATTGTAAGGTGCATTTCTTACACATCTTTGAGGATTCATCATTAAAACTTAAGCATCTCACAGCTGGGTTCAATGCACAGAACAATGAGTGCCTAGCAGAAGTTGCTTTGTTTCCTGGGATGTATCTGCATTTTCCCCATATTGACTCAAAGAAATAAAATCTATTACCATCAAGAGACACCATGAACTAGGAACTATAAAAACACAATTATTCCTGAAATTCCACAACCACCTGTGATCATCCAGAGGTACGGATACATAGCAGCAGTAGGTTCTTTTTTTATACAATGGCTTATATTTTAAAATAAAAACAAAACACTTTTGAAACATTCCCAGGAAACATAATAAATGACCTATACACGATTTAGTCAAATTTGTCCTTTTCCCAACCTACATAAGGGCGACTCAACACCTGTCTTCAGTAATACCTGCAGTGAGTAAGCGGAGCCGTAAACCTGAGGGTCCAGTTCCATCTCTCAGAACATCAACGTTCTCTGCATACACATTACCAAGGAAACAGCTGAGTGGCATCATGGGAGCCCTGAAACAAATAAGATGTACCAAAAAAATACCCAGGATAGGCCCAAGCTTTGAACTGTCTGTTAGTTTTGAGAGAAGCAAATACAACATACAGAATTGATATGGGAGCACCTACATTCTCCTGAATGAAAAGAGAGGAAAACTAATGTTTGAAACTGATTCGTCAGTTGAGAAAAGTTGATACTATTGAATAAAGTTGTTACACAGCAAAAGGAATAAACATGCAGCATGAAAGAAAGGGTCTTTTATCATGAAAATGAATGTGTTGCTAGTCTCTGGAAGTTACAGCACCTGCATCTAGATTTCAGACTTTGTACACCTCTTGGAACATGTTTCAGAGTCCTTGGCTTCAAATTCATTCTCATGAAAATGAGGGAAATACAATACTTATATCTATTTAATTCAAAGCAATCTTGACATGGTCTGCTTGCAGTCTTTCAGTTATAGTCAACATCTTGAGTATAATTTTATTAATTTTTATTGAGTATAATTTTTATTAATTTATTGGATAATTTTGTCTGCATGCAACCTGTGGACATATCTGAAGGTGATTTACTAAAAATAATATATTTGCTGGTATTCAAAATAAGGAACAAATGGTACTAGCCAATTAATTTCACATATACTTATCATTCATTCAAGTCTAAATAAAATATAAAAGATAAAAATCAGATTTCTTATATTTGTTCTAACAACCCTCCATGATCCAACTATATACATACTTTGTATCTTGCAGACTGTTTCCACTGTAGATGTACATACGTTTCACAGTTGCGCCATGGGGAATTTGTAGAGAAGCAAGGCCATGGGCAAAGTTAGGCTGTGGATATACAAAATGATTCTCACTAACTGTATCGTACACTACATAAGTGCAAAACCACTTCAGTTCAAAATCCTGCACAAGAAACAACTGTATTCATAAGCATGTACTGTAAACCTCAAGAATTAGTTAAGCTGAATTTATGTCTACTATGAAAGTGAAAACGAGCCACAAGACAAAAACAGCTTGCATTACAGCATTTGTTGATTCTTCCTCAATTCTATTATCTGTCAAAAATGGCAGCAGTCTTTCAGTTGGCCTTACAGGGACCCACAAATTCAAATATTCTTGATAAAGTCTGTAGTCTGTGATTAGCATCTTAAGTCTGTCATCTCTGAAAGCATTTGCATTGGTATGCTACATTACTTACAGTACTAGTAAACAACAAAATTAGCTCTAAAATTGAAGGTGTCAGTTATCTTTTGCTATGTTACTCTCACCAGCTTTGTAATACCTCAATAAATCCCCCCAAAATTAGAATTACTATTTCTCCCTCTGTTGGTCTGAAAAACATGTTTTGATGTACCCCTTCCCTTTTCTATAGTGTTTCAATATTTCCCTCTCTCCAACAGTCTGCTTCAGTGTTTTTTTTATATATAGTTTTACAATGATTTGAAAACATCTCCAATGGTGCTTGCAATTTGTTATCCAATAAGTTTCAAAAGCTCAGTGTTCTTCCTAGAAATGTGATGCAATGTCATTCTCTCTAATCCTAAACAAACAGCTTTGACATAAGAAAATTTCACCACTTCCTTAGTCCCCCTCCCAGGACACTTCTGTGAGAGACTGCATTTTCTGCTTCTCCCACTCCCTCCCCATGTTGACCATTTTATCCTATTCTTTGTTTTCTATGTCTACATTACTTTATAATCTACAGAAGAACTTTGCCTCTTATTCTAAAAACCTAATCTCTCCAATAATTTTTTGAAGGTAACCTGATGCTTTGAACTTGATGTGTCAATGTTATTAGCTATTTTGGAGACTGTCAAAGAACTGTAATTGCACGGAGAAGCACCACTTGCCTCTCGAGTCAGAAGTTTTAGAACTATCCCAGATTACTGTATTAGTCAAAATGTGTAACTCATAAAGCACCAAGCTCCTAATACAGTGAGAACACATGCCCTTTTGCTAATTAACCAATTTGACTTACTTCCACTCTCAGTTCTACTTCTGCTCTTCATCATCTTGGAATCTAGTATTTCACTATATACAATTATCTTTACTTGATAAGAATGGGTAACACCCTAGGGTTCATTTTATAAGTTATAGATAATATTTCTATTATTGTTAATGGGAATTGCAGTCCACCTGATGTTGCATCCAGTGGAAACATTTGGAGTATGATATTTGTTACAGGTTTCAATGGGTACAGAAGCTTACCCACTTAAGTATTTAGTAACATCAAAATATTTCGTAACTAAGGAAATATGAACAACATACCAAACATTTATTTTGGCTTCCCAATTCACATAACAGCAGTCTTTTAAAGTCACAGGTGTATTTTACACTGTTGCAATTTAGCTTTGAAAGAATTTGAAGCAGAACTGAGAAAAGGACAGCCATATCCTCTTTTGATATTAAAGCAAAAGCAAGACTTGTTTAGCTAAAACATTTTTAAATACTAATGGAGAAGTTACAGTTAAGAGACAAATTTCTGAGATTTATCTCAATAATGGAACTGCCATTCCCACTTGGCAATAAAAGCAAAACAATATTCAGCTAAAAGCCAGGCATAAACTTTTGATTTGGAAAACATTCAGTTTTGCAAATGAATGGTTTGTTTTGCTTGAAAGTGAGGCAGGCCTATAGGCAATATTTTGCAAATGTTAGGAGAGAAAAAACCAACAGAGACCATGTATTAACTAGGAAAAATTCCTGACCTCATACTTTGGAGTTTCAGTCCATGAGTCTAACTGAAAGGAAAACGAAAGTCCTCTGAAATTGAGGTGAAAAAGTTGTTCAGCTGAGTTGTACACTGCGGGAGGGGGAGAAAAAAAAAAAAAAAAAACCCAAAAGGAGTTATGAAATGGACAGGCATAGTTCAGACCTAACAGCACTTTAAATTGCCTTACTTGCTTCTTGGCTACCTCCTCTACCTCAGTAAAATGTGATGAAATTTAAGAAAAATTATGTAGAATGCCAGGACGTCTTATCACAATAAGCAAATTAAAAATGGAATTAGGGATGTAAACACCAATTAAAAAATATCCATTTAATCTGTTGTAATTACAATGGTTAAACAATTAATCAGTATAGCAACCCCCAACTTGGACCATGTAAGGTTGTTCTAGCCTGGCCTGTGGGGTGCCCTGTCCAGCCTGGCACCAGTAGGGCACATCCAGCCCCTCCAAGGTGCAGTGGGGACTGAGCAGCTCCCCAGGGCTGTGTCTCATAATGAGCCAGGCAGGCCCTCTGAGTCCATCCCTGGGTGCAGACAGGGAAGACAAATGGGGTGCACTGCAGGGCTGAGCTGCAGGCCTGGAGGAGCCATCCCGTGTCCACCTTGCCTCTGCCAGGCTCTGACTTCCACACTCCCCATGCTTTGTGGACAGCAGAGTAGGGGGTGAAAATGAGGGGGGTAGAACTAATACATAATAGTGAGGCTCTGCAGACCCTCATGCAACTGCCTGTAGCCTTCCCACTGCCTGCTGCAAGCATCCCGGACACCGTGACAGGAGGCAGCAGCCTGCCCAGAGTCTTTGCTATTTGCAGCAGAAAGCAGGGAGTCTGCAAGCAGCTGCACCAGGGCCCTCAGAGCCTAGCTATTAAGTACTAGTCACCCACCTCCCCTTCCTCCCTCCCTGCCTGCCCTGCTGGGTTCTGGTTCCTGCTGGGGCACCACACAGCTTGCCTTCTTCCCCTTCCCTGCTGGACTACACCCTGCCCTGCACTAAACAATAACCAGTAAGCTATAACCAGTTATCACTGGTTATCAAATTAGTTATTTAACTGTTCACATCCCTAAATGAAATACTTCAAAAAGAGGGAAAGGGAAATAATAATAATAAAGCATACAGAATGCCTTAAATCTACCTATTTAGCCCTTTAAAAAAAATCTATCCAAGCTTCACTAATATATCATTAACAATACAATTACATCTTAGCATCATTGAAATAATTAAATCAGCAGCAGCTACCAAGCAACCTCTTTTCTGTCCCTTCACCATTATGGGACGCATGCCCTCAGCCTTTTTAAAAACAATGCACCTAACTGGCATAAGTGCTTAAAGATCACCAAATTCAGTACTTTGAGCCAGAAGAACTGCAACATCCAGCATCCTAGAGCTTAGGGAACATTCCACCCAAAGACGTATCTAGCATGAGGGCCCCAGCTAGCCCTGCCACAGCACAGGGATGCACCACTCACATGTGCTAATTCCAGTCTGTTTAGGTCTTGTCACTAGAAACAAGTCTACTAGTCAGTTTGCAAAAGACGTGACTAAATTTGGAATACAAAAAGAAGTTGACTGTCATCACATGACATTTAATGTTTTAATTTACTTCAAAGAATTGCATAATACAAGTGGCAATGAAAGACATCTCAGAATTTACTCTAACAAGACAGACTGTCTTCTGAGGTTTGCAGAAATAAACACTAAGGCAGTTCAGCAGCATAGAAACCATTTTCAAGATGCTGCTACCAAGCTTCAATCAGTTACTGCTATTGGCTGGGTGGAACAGAGCATACAGAGATTGTTCTTTTTACACATTGTACCCACTATATCTGCAAAAGAAGTCAGTAGACAATAGCAGTAAAAAAATGGAGGGAGGGAACGGGAGAGACTTGAAGTGAAGTTTTTCCCCTTCATCCCATTTACTGAAGACGGAAGCTTCACTTTTTTTTTTATTTCACACTTAAGATCATAAAACAGTTTGGCATTGTTTTATAAACTACAATCGTGTGCATTATGAAGCATGTTTGAGTTTCTCAGCTCCAAAATGGGTCACCAGTTCAGACAATGCTGAGGAGGGAAGAAAGGTGTGTATCATGGCACTGGGACATGCACTTGAGCGCACTAATATCAAGGTAAGGTAATTCAGCCTGGTCACTTGTAAGCTTTTTACAGAGAGGTTTGTCTGGTTTCCAGTCACTGGTTAAGAGCAACACCTTAACGACTAACCTGTTCAGAAAGGTGTGAGATTTTGTAAGCTATAGTCTACTTCATCAGCTGCTATATATAAGAACTTTGATTATACAGATAAGCTTAACCAACAGGCAAAAAAACTCTGATAAAATGATCCGTTTTCCACTGTAAGCTTCCAAAAGATCATTATTTGCGTTTGCTGCAGATTGGCCATGAATCAGCTCAAACATTCTTAAATTTGTTCCCTCCTCGTCCTTTTCTTTCAGAGGACTCATATCACTGAAAAGTGATTGTGTGTGCAAACGCCATCCCCCCAAATAATTGTTTTGATTAACAGAAAAATTACTCAGATCTCCTACTTGCAATGAATATACAATGCATCTTTTCCAGAGCCTGTAGCCAGCTGGAGAAGTTTTGCTCTGACCGCTTATAACAAACACAGTATTTGATTAGGCAACTTACATCAGTTCTCATTTGTTACAAATGTTTCTTAATATTTAGGTATAAAAGGCAACAAACTTCTTCTTCCAAGGGAAATCTTTCACCTTCCTCTTAAGATCCAAATTGTTGCGTCATGAAAAAGGTCAGTGTGGGAAAATTCCATTGATTCTGAGGTAAAACAACTTTTCATTTCGAAATGTTAAAAGAAGGCTGAAGTCAAAAGAGAATGCCCTTGATAACCTGACATGGAATTTGTTTTGATTTGCCAAAATATATTCCCAATCTGGGGTAAAGTTTTTGAATCCTCAACATGCTTCTTACTAGGCTCCATGAAGTGTATTTATTAAAAGGAGGAAAGTATAAAAATGCATTAAACCTGCACTGCATGATAAAATTCAGTCACATTTTAGTGAAAACCATGACGTAGATACTAGTAGGAACACCTGTACTTTTTAAGGAAGAAAGAGCTTTTGTATGTGAGAAAATGTATTTTCTATGAGTGAGTTAAGACATCATGACAATTACAATCAGATAAGCAAGCTAGTGCATATTTTTAATTCGGATACAATGAACATATAGAATCTGGGGTAGCTGCAGCTCCAGGAGTCATGCTGTTCTACTACTTCTAGTAAAACTGTATGTATACCAATTTACATGGTTATAAAGAATGCCAGTTATCAAATAAACAAGTCTTATAGCTGTAAACATATCTTTATGGTTCAAATACCAATTCATAGCTTTATGAGCTTTTCTTCCCTTACACATTTCCAAATAAACCAGTCATATCTTTACGTTTACTTGATTTAAATAAGGAAATCAAGGACATTCACTTATCCCAATCTGATATCCAACTGCTATAGCTATAGCAATGTCTCCCTCCAACTACATAATTATTAAAACCATAAAATAGTGCAGGGCCCTCTGTATCACTTAATCCCTGTAACTGGTTGCTTAAGATACTGTCTACAGAGAATTAATGTGGCAAGAAAGCCCCCCAATAACATAGGAGACATTGGTTGTAGCCAATCTGAGACCAGCCTGAAGGTCTCCAAATGAACGTAACAGACAGGAGAATAGATGCTTTAAAGGGACATTTTGCCTACTTTAAATGAAGCTCTTCCCCCTGGTTATAGGCTGGTATTATTTCAGTCTTACGCCTAAATTTGTGTAGAAGGCTTGGGGACAACACAACAGGTCATTCAATTCTAGTTACCCTTTATCCTGAAAGGCGCAGCACAGAAAGGTGCATTTCTGTTCATTATCTGTACACACTAAGTAACTTAGTAAAGCTGCAACCTACCTCCTGGATGTGTTGCTCCAAATGACTGATCAATCTGCTCTATGGTTGGAGCAATTGCCTGAGAGTTAAAATGGACACCACTGAAAAAGAAATAGAAAACAAATGAAACACTGTTAAAGAGGAAGCTATTTAGGGGGTACATTACTTAAAATGATTAAGATACACTAAGTCAGGGGTTGGTAACCCCCAGCATGTGTGCCACAATATAGCATGCAAGGTCATTCGCTTAGGAGGCAAAAGGCAGCCTGGGCTCTGGGGAGCTGCTGCCAGCTAGAGCTGGGCCTGCTTGCAGCAGATGGCCAGGAGGCTGCAAGCCAATGCTGCAAGCAGCCCAGGCTGGCTACATCTGGGAGGCTGCAAACAGCTGCACTGGGCTCCAGAGCTATGGCCTGGCCTGCAACCAAGGCCCCTCCCTTGCTATCCACCAGAAATGAGTGTGCAGCCACACCACCATCCAAACCACACCAAGGGCACTGGTGGTGCAGCTGTTTGCAGCCTGCCAGTCACAGGCAAGTGGTGAAGGAGGGGCCAAGGTTGCACACTGTACATGAGGGACTTGCTGCATTCATCCATTCTCCCCTACAAGCTCCCTAAGTGTCACCTTCCAATCCACCTCTATTTTAGGGACCCCCAGCAGTCCATAATCACACATGCAGTTGGATCCTGTAGGTCTGCTAACCAGATGCCAGAGGTTCTTTGAGTCTCCCCTTCCCCCCCATTTTGGCTTTCAACTTAAAACAATTTTGCATAAACTTTGTTTTCTCCATCCAGCTTAATATTATTTCAATCTGCACACAAGGTTTTTAATGTACTTCATGGTGTAACTGAGACCTTATTCTATTAAAAAAGCTTTAGGCATAGGGATGTTGCATACAGCTGTTTAACAAATACAGTAAAAGCTGCATTATCTGGCACCTTACAAGCTGGCAAGCTCTATTAACTGGCATGCTGGCTTATAAGGTAAAAGCAAAACCAGAAGTGCCCACCATGGCACTTCCGGTTTTGCTGAGCCCCCGCAGCCCGGGGCAAAGCAGCCTGAGCTGCCGAGTCCCCATGGCCAGAGGCATAGCAGCCTGAGCAAGGCCCGCCTCCCTGTCTCTCAAGGCCTGTGGGGGCCACGGGAGCGGTGGTGGCCTGAACAGGCAAAAATGCCTGTTCATGCCCCTCAGTTAACCGTCATATTTTGTTATCCGGTACCCCCCATTCCGCATGGGTGCCAGATAAAGCGTTTGCTGTAATACTACCATTACAAGGAAAAAAAAATAGGAAACTGATCATTTTTACAAATGACTTTTTGAAGTCATCTGAATTCTTCTCCATCTGTTAAACTACTGAGAGCAAAAACAAGTAAAACATATTCCCAGCTAAACAAAAAGAATATTTTATTCCTCATGCTTACAATAGAAAGAACAGGCACAGCTTACTTATTCAAACCAATCTTATGGATGCAGTAAGAATACCAAGCTACCACAATTTTGCCACCAGCCTTAAATCTAGACTACTGATCGAATTACAATCCAATTCATTTGTCATTTTACAGAAACAGAGTTTACAATATTTTAAATAATATAAATCACGGTGAGATAAATTGTTTTATTACAAGGAATTCAATGATACAGGAACTCAATGCAGGCCAGTAGCCTACACACGGTGGGGGGTGAGGGAAGAGAGAGAATGTAATTAGTAAAGTGCGCGAGTCAAAATGACAAAATTATTTTAAAATCACTTACCAATATTTTAACTTCACTTTAGTCAAGTCATAAACTTCAATCACCTGAAAAAAGAAAAAAAGTGTATAAAAATTATTCTGAATTCACAGATATTCAAAAGAAGATATTTAGGACAGACTGACTGACAAAAGGTAAAAGCAGTTATGAAGTTCTCTTTACGTAAAGGAAAGCTGCTCAGTTGGCATCTAACTTGATACAATTAAAAAGTGAAAAACCAATGCCCCAAAATCACATTTCTAAACCACTACAAAGAACTAAGAATTTAACCATACAACTGTCTCAAGGTAAAAACTGTGTCCAAATGCTGGTGAGGAAACAGAAATGAAATTTGCACTATTGTCTAGAGCAGGTGTGGGCAATTATTTCAGGCAGAGGGCTGCTTACCCAGCTTCTGCAGGCTGTAAAGGACCACATGGGTAGCGCTGCCCCTTGACAGGTGCCCCGCCTCCTGGTCACCATCTTGGGACCAATGTCTCAATGTCTTGGGACCAATGTCCCAGTGCCAGCACCGGTGGGACGCAAAGTGGGGCACAGGCTGGCAGGGGTCTCTGGAGCTGGGCTGGGCTGCACCAGAAGGAGAGGGGGGAGCTGGCCCGGCTCCACAGAGTCCCCGCCAGCTGGGAGCCCGTTCTCCTGCCACCCTGCTCTTAGCCCCATCTAGCACTGGCCCCAGGACACCAGTGCAGGCCCTGTGCTCCTGCCGGCTCCCTGCCAACTCACTCCCAGTGTCCCCCTATCCCCGTGGTACAGGTGGAGGCAGTGCACAGCCCTGACCCCCTGCTCTCCAGCAGGGAAGAAGCTGGTGCTGAGTGCAGGGGGGAAAAGCAGCCCCTTGCCTGCCCTGTGCCCGGTGCCCCATGCTGCAGCCACTTGCAGCCTGCCTGTGCCTGCTCAGGACAGCCCCGCACAGGCTGTAAGCGACTGCAACAGGGAGCGCTGGCCATGGGGTGGGGGAGGGGCCAATTTCCTCCATGCCAGGAAGGAGGCCGGGGTGGGGGAAGTGGCACTCCCGCACCCCATGGCCGGTGCTCCCTGCTGCAGCCACTCACAGCCCATGCGGGGCTGTCCGGAG